ATAGTTTGTCCATCAGGGTTTGGGGGATCATGGTGTTGAAGGCGGATGTGAAGTCCACAAAGAGCATACGGACGTAAGAGTTTTTCTGCTCCAGGTGGTTGAGTGCAGTGTGGACCACAGAGGAGATTGCATCCTCTGTTGATCGGTTCTCACGGTATGCGTACTGATGAGGGTCCTCGTTGATGTTGATGGTTGTTTTGATGTGAGTCATGACCAGTTTTTCGAAGCATTTAGCGACTATCGGGGTGAGGGCCACTGGCCGATAGTCATTCAGACCAGTCACTGTAGAGCTTTTTGGGACTGGGATGATGGTGGCAGTCTTCAGGCAGGTGGGAACTGTCTCCAGGGTAAGTGAGGTGTTAAAGATGTCTGCCAGCACCTCACAGAGCTGATCAGCACATTCCTTCAACACTTTTCCGGGGATGTTGTCTGGGCCAGTTGCTTTGTGCGTATTAATCCTCCTGAAGGTACTCCTTACTTCTGCTGAGGTCACGCTGAGATGCTCTTCATCCGGTGGTGAGGTGAGTCTGGTGCTGGGTGGTCTGTTCGGGTCTTCAAAGCGTGCATAGAACTTGTTGAGGGCATCAGGCAGAGATGGGTCTTTGGGGCATTGTTCGCTCCTTCCTTTATAATCTGTTATGCACTTAATGCCCCTCCACATGCTCCGAGGGTCTTGTGAGATGAATTGACCCTCGATCCTCTTTGCATATGTGGCCTTGGCCCTCTTAATACCAGCAACCAGCTCTTTTCTTGTCCTACTCAGCTCCTCTGAGTTTCCAGACCTGAAGGCAGTGTTCCTGGCTTCCAGCAGGGTACGCACCTCTGCATTCAGCAGAGGTGCGTACCCTGCTGGATGTGTGCAATAATGCTATTCATTTATACGGAATGTTGTTGTTGTTGTTGGGTTTTTTTATGTTCACAGATTAAAAAAATAAAAAAAATAAAAGCTGCATCTCTTCTCCAGCCCCACAGACACGGCTTTAATAGTTAGCAAATGTGAATTTGGATTTTTTTCATGTACCGTAATTTTCACCCTATAAGTGGTGGGTTTTTGTGTAATTTACATGCCCTGTGACTTATATGCCAAAGTGAAGTATTTATGGATTTTTACCTATATTTATAAACAAATTTTTTTGGCTGAGATATGACTGTTTACATTCATTCTGACAATGAAAATATTGAACGCTACCATTTTCAGCTGTTAGATGGCATTCGAGTAGAATGGCATACTTTTGTGTCATGTAATAGATAAAAGTGGCTATTAATGACACAATCGGCTTGCCATAGATGCCACCTTTGTCCAGCTTGCCTGGAGCAACCATCAAATCTGCTTCATTTCGCTGAGCCACCCCGATGAAATGCAGCTAATTTGACCGTTGAAGTGCATTTATTAAGTAAAAGTTCAACTGAGACAAAACTTTACTATAATGTTTAGCAAACAAACAATTGTTTTAGGTGGTTATCTTGTTAAATTTTGAAGAAATGCACAACGAGTCCTCCCATCCATGCGTCAACTTCTGCATATCGGCTTTTGAAATGCAGCTGATTTGACCTTCAAAGTGCATTTATTTAGCAAAAAATAGACTGAGACACACCTTTACTATATTTTGAGCAAACAAATAATTGTTTTTAAGTGTTAATCTTGTTAAATTCTTGTTAAAGTCCTACCGTGCACGCTCCCGCGGCTGTCATTTGGCAGCCAATCAAGTTTTGGCACAACACCGACCCACATTTCCAAGTTGTCAGCGGTGACGGGTAACAAACGCCATGCGTCACCGCTGATGCACAACTGATGCAACGTAAATGGCGAAGCAACGTATTTATGGATTTTTCCACTTTATTTGACATATTGGGACTGATGCGACTAAGGCGGTGTGACGTGTACGGCGAAAAATATGGTAATTTTCCATTTCATCTTCTGAAAAGTGACCTGAACTGTCCCTTTAAAGAAACACATATAAATATGTGTTTCTTTCTAAAAAAAGAAAACAATCAATTTGATGGTAGTCAAACAATCACAGCATTCCTCCTCAGACATTATTTTGGCTTGTCTGTTTGGTCAGAATTAAATTCTAATTCACCAAACAGTCAAACAGCTATCTGCAACATGTAAGATATTTATGATTTCTAGCCTTCCCACAAAATCTTTTTACCATTTTTTTTAACCAATTTACCAATAAGTCTTACCAATAATTGATCTATTTCACTACACAGCTGTGTCTGATTTGAATGCTTTTCTGCTCAAGGACCCAAAGATTAGAGGGTTTCCAGCCTCGTTCTGTGAGTGAAGAGGATTCCCCAAATCTTTTAATGACATTATCTGTCGCAGATCATAAAATCTCCTGTTGCTCCTGTATTAACTTTTGGTAATCCTCTTGTTGGTGTCAAATACAAAACGAGTGCCCTTTACAAAAATGACTTAAGGGGTTTTGTTTTAAAATCTCAACACATTTATGTAAAACGTACAAATGCAAGATGATTTCTCCGTTTGTTTCTAGTGTTCATTTTATACTGCTTTGAGCAAGAGTTAAAAAATAACCACGTCCACCATTTATTTTGTATTATGTTTAGTTTAATATTCCAGTTTATGTCACAAATACTCAGAGACATTTTTTTTTAGAAACTTTGCTGCAGTGATTGATTCATGATAGTTGTTTTACAACAAAAGTGTATTATAATCTTTTTACAGAAGTAATGTAAGATGAATATACACTTACAAAGTTTCTCCAAGAGCAGGTATTGTTGAAAATCTCCTAAATAAATTAGTTTTATCACTTTAATTCTATTCCATACTGCTGTGAATATAAAAGGCGTTTTTATTGTTGGTTGAATTTAAATATCTCCCTGAAGCTCTGAGTGCAGTCATCCTCCTGGTTGTTAACTTTTACAGCAGTTCTGATAAAACTTGTGTGCGTCTGCTTCCACCTCACGCTGAGGCTACAATAAATCTTTTCAAGCTTTGTCACACCACAACTCTCTCTTGTGAAATGCATTCTTATTATAAGTAATTGACTTAGATTATTAATTGGCCGGTGCAAAATAATGCAAGGAGTCCGCTGACAGCTGCGCACTTAACAAAACGTTTGCACCCAAGAGCGCGCTGCGGTGCCAAACCGTTTGGTGCGCGCCACTGGAAGGCCATTGGTCGGACTGAGCAGGGTCATTTGCATACAGCAGGACTCAAAGTCAGCCCCTCTGCTAAGTTGGAGTTGTTTCCATCTGACTTGGCACAAGTGGTGCACAGTTTGCATCATTTGTAACAGATTGGGTCAATTTTCTAGACTTTTAAAATGGGATTGTGTCAAATTGCGCCAGCTGGAGTGTCCCTGCTGCTTGCTGCGTTCTCACTCACAGTCCACTGCACAACCACAAGGTATTTCACCTTTGAGGAGGACGCACCGGGGACAGAGGTAGGCAACTTGTCCCGGGATTTAAAGATTGATCCGGATGACGACCCGGACACATCATTCCGCTTCATGCAGGAGAGCAACTCCTCGGTGATCCACCTGCGGGAGAGCGACGGGCTCCTGAGCGTGGCGGAGAGAATCGACAGGGAGCAGCTGTGCCCCAGGTCCCTCCCCCGCTGCTTCATCGCCTTCGACATCGTGGCCCTCTCCAGGGAGAAGTTTCAGCTCTTCCACGTGGAGATCGAGGTGAAGGACATCAACGACCACTCTCCTCGCTTTGCGCGCAACCACACCAGCCTGGAGATCGTGGAGAACGTTCCCCTGGAGTCCAGGTTCCCCCTGCAGATCGCCCAGGACCTGGATGTGGGTGAGAACTACATTCAGAGCTACAACATCTCCCCCTGCAGCCACTTCGCCGTGGAGGTGCGCGAGGGGGAGGACGGGCTGAAGTTTGCGCAGCTGGTGCTGGTCAGGGAGCTGGACAGGGAGGTGGAGGACTCCTACACGGTGCAAGTTACCGCTCATGATGGAGGAGTCCCCCCAAAGTCCGGAACCATGACGGTGAACATCAAAGTGTTGGACTTCAACGACAACAGTCCCACTTTCGAGCACAGCTCCCTGAAAGTGGAGCTGCACGAGGACGCTCCGGTGGGGCACAGGGTGCTCAGAGTGCACGCCTTCGACCCGGACCAGGGCGCCAACGGCGAGGTGACGTACGCGTTCGCGGACGGGTTGTCTCCTGAAGCCGCTCGGGTTTTCCACGTGGACCCTCAATCAGGCGACGTGACGCTGAGGGCGCCCGTGGACTTTGAGAAGAGGAGGTCGTACGAGCTGCTCATCAGAGCCTCGGATCTGGGGGAGAACCCCGTCCCGTCCACGTGCCACGTCGTGATCGACGTCGTGGACGTGAACGACAACGCGCCCGAGATCGGCATCAAACCCATGACCTCCAGCTGCGACGGGGTGGCCTTCATCACGGAGGCCGCGGCCGCCGAGAGCTTCGTGGCTCTGATCAGCACCTCGGACAGAGACTCCGGCTCCAACGGGTACGTGCGCGTCAGCCTGCTCGGGCACGAGCACTTCGCCCTGCAGCAGGCCTACGGGGACACGTTCATGATCGTCACCTCCACCACTCTGGACAGAGAGAAGATCCAAGAGTACAACCTGACCGTGGTGGCAGAGGACCTGGGCACTCCACCTTTTAAAACCCTCAGACAGTACACCATCAGTGTGACGGATGAGAATGACAACCCCCCTCTCTTCAGTAAGCCCCTCTATGAGGTTTCAGTGCTGGAAAACAACATCCCAGGCTCATACATCGCCACTGTTGTCGCACGAGATCCAGATGTGGGGAAGAATGCCAAAGTTTCTTATACACTCCTGGACTCAGAGGTGCCCGGAGGATCCCCTGTGTCCACTTATGTTTCTGTAGACTCGGTTTCGGGGTCTTTGTACACGCTCAGGTCCTTTGATTATGAGACGCTTCAGCAGATTGAGGTGGTCATCCAAGCAGAGGACAGAGGCTCCCCTTCCCTTTCCAGCACGTCAACAATCAGGGTTAGAGTCGTAGACCAGAATGACAACTATCCATACTTCACCTTCCCCGTCCTCCTGAATAACTCTGCTGATGTCCTTCTGCCTTACAACGCACCCTCCGGCTACCTCGCCCTCTGTGTGTCAGCTGAAGACGCAGACGAGGGAGCGAACGGTGAGGTGTCCTACCACGTTGTGCAAGGTGACCCAAAGCTGTTTACCCTGAACAGAAACACTGGTGAGATCGCTTTAAAGCAGAGGCTGACAGCTGAAATAGGAGACGTGCTGGAAATAAAAATTGCAGTGAGCGACGGCGGCAGGTCCCAGCTCTCCAGCAGTGCAACAATCAGGTTCATGGTCTCAGACACAAAGCCCCCCGAAGACCAGGTCGTCATTGTGCTGCGGTCCGGCGAGGAAGAGAACTCGGGCTTTGATGGCTCGCTAATTATCATCATTGTGCTCAGTGGAGGCTGTGCCTTGTTGCTAATTGCAATAGTGGCTGTGGCTGTCAGATGCAAGCTTGGCCGTGGGGGGAGAAGCCGTGGCAGGAAGAGAGATGTGTGCCAGGGCCTGTTTGACGGCAGGCCCCTGCCCATGCTCAGCTCAGCAGAACCAAACATTTACACAGGCCAGCAGGGGTTCTTCCAAGAGAGGACGTCTTTGTCTCTAGATGACTCCTGCCTGTACGAGGAGAGAAGCAGAGACTCTGACACAAAGGTGAGTCAGCTAAGATCTTTTTCCATGATGCTTTCTTGTGCCAGAAATGGAAACTAACCTTTCTGCCGTCACCGTTTGCTTTTTAAAAATATATATTTTAGATCTTCCTGCCCTCCAAGCATTTCCAACCAACATCTTTGTGGCAAACTGACAGATACTGCTTGCAAGTGAGGTAAGATAAGAAGGAAATGTCTTTTCTCATTCAGGATACGTTTTAGGAACCTGCGTACATGCAAAGCACACCACCCATGCTTCATGCACACAACTCACTGCTCGTGCAGAATGAGGTTAGAAGGTCCAGACTTAGACTGAGGAAACAATGAGCATCAATAATCAGGGTCATACTGTATCTGTTGATTACAGTGGCATCAGCAGCAACGACCAGCTGAGCGTAAAGGACAGCGGTAAAGGGGACAGCGACTTCAATGACAGTGACTCTGACGCCAGCGGTGACGGAGGCAAGAAAAACTTCAGCACGTTCCAACCCAGGATAAAAAGTAATTTTTTTTTTTTTTTTTTAACTTTACCAAGTGATAACAAACTGTCCGTAATATGAAAAGTTCATCTGGATGACATGAACGATCAGTGATGTCTTATGAACCACTGAATTGCTTTTAATGATGCTTTCAGAAAGCAATCATTAGGTATACATCTTTTTAATGTAAAATATTTTATAGAGTTTAAAGGTATTTTTAATCCTGCAGGTTTTTTTTAGCTTTTAAAATTTTTCGTCCATGTCTCTTTAGATATTTTATATTGTAGCACTTTGCAATTGTAGAATGTAAAGTGCAGTACAAATTGAATAAATTATTATTATTATTATTGTTATTATTACTGATCAAATTTTGAGTTAGTCAAAAACAAGATGGCTGCCACAGCCAACAAATGCAAATGTTAAGAAACAAACACAAAACAAGCTTAAACTCAACATTCTGTTACAGATATGTAGCAAAGACTTGGTGTGGTAGTAGCTGAGGATCAATGCTAACAATTAACATGAACTGCAAAGACTGCAGTTTTTTTTAATCAACAGTTTGGAATCAACTGTCTGTTAGCAAAATATGTCATGAACAACTTGACAGATTTTAACAAAACTGTCAGAAATTACTGGATTATTACTACATTTAGGATTAACTTTTGAATTCAACCATTTCAGATTATCCAGTGATTTGCATTCATTAAAGCAACAATCATTTTTATGTTTCGTTTGTTTTTCAGGCGCCGCTAACAGCTTATCAAGGGATTGTCAAGGCAGCTACTGCGCGATCCCACCAAGGAGCTTCAGAACCTGCAGAGATGATACGTACACCATCGGCTTCTCCCCGGTGTCCGTCTTCAACAACCCCCACAGCATTCAGAACGACTGCAGTTATGGCACAAATCAGCACCAGCCGAGAAGCAGCATGCAAACTTTTTCCAGATGTGGCACTCTTCCTCCCTACTTCCCCCAGCAGCTGCGTGACGCTGGTGTTGGACTGGCTGCGGTCCAAAAGCAAAGCCCCGACATCCAAACGGTGGCGACAGAGTTAGAAGTTGCAACCATCTTTTAAAAGTAAGCTACAAGCTCATTGAGCTAGAACAGTGGTTCTCAAACTGGGGTCCCCCAAGGGTATGCGAGTCTGTGCTTGGGGGTCCCCCTCCCCCCACCAAATACATATGTATATATATTCTTTTATTATTATAATTTTTTTTACAAGCACGTAGATGTTTAAAAACCTGTTAAAAAACACCAAAATGCAGGAAATAACATGTACTTTATTCAAAACTTTCTGGGGCTGGACCCCCCCCCCCCCCCCCCCAGATAGCCCACCTGCGATTTGTGTTCCAGCAATGATCACTTTACAAATTAAGCCCAGTTACTCAGTATGACTACATTCTTCTGTAATAATTTGAAGAAGTGTCAACACATTTATAATGTTCATTGTGTGAATGGGTAAAGTTTTAAAGTGGTTTTTGATTCTGTTGATTTTCTCAAAACTACTTCTTGGAAGTTGAAATTTAAAATGTTGTTAATTGTGTCAAATGAAGAATACCCCATGTTTAAAAGTATAAAAAATGTATTAACACTATTAAAGAACAGGTCTTCAGTATTTATGTTACATAAATATTTCCATTGCATTAAAGAGACAAATTGAAGAAAATTATGAGGGGGGGTCCCTGAAATGTTTTCTCCCCTAAAGGGGGTCCCTGAACCCGAAAGGTTTGAGAACCTCAGAGCTAGAAGATGTAAATATGTAGGTGTAGTTAGCAAGTGTACATATTTGTTCATGTAGCTTCATTTTTATTTATGTTGCTCAATTTGATCTTTACTTTTTTGTATTCTGACGTTTTTCTAATAAAGTTATTGACTGAAACATAGAAAAACTCTTTAATACGTTTCCTAAACAAGCTGGCGTGAATAAATTTAATAAAAAGTGACAATAAATCATTTTAATAGAGGAATATGAGATTTTGAGGATTTAATAAAAGTCTGCTGCCACCGGTGACCCCCCAGCCTTCATTTGTAAACACGTAGAACTCCTCCTCCTCCTCTTTGAATCTGCCTGATCAAAACTTCAGTCGGTGTCGATCAGATGTGAAATCTGACGCTCCTCCATTACCTGGGAGACACGCTTTGAAGACGCCAAGGTTGCTCCAATAAGTTTCTTGCATGCAAATGAGCAGAGCTGGTGCTCACATGAAAAATAGAGTATACGCTAATATTCAGACAAAAAAATTAAATCATGGATGCTGCTGAATTAGCATTTCACTCTTTAAAAATAATATTCATTACTCTGCACAAAGTATTGTTTCCTGTCAGTTGTGGCTCAGAGGGACAAATTAACATCCTTTATACATTCATATGTTTGCTTAAAAAATGAAAAAAACATTCAAGAAGAACTGTTTTTTCATGTAACTCTTTAAAAAACAATTCAGTGTTAAAACACCTCCATGCTTGATTTGAAAATCAGGTTTATGTGTCTAAGTTTGACCCAGACGTGAAAAAGCAGGACAAGTGCAGTTTCTGGTGCTGAATGATTTATTGACAAACTACTGATGAGTTTTAAATCCATAAGCAACACTGCTGGTAAACAACAAGCCAAACGTTGGACGCTTGTTGTTCATACAAACTGTGAAACACAGACATCAACCCACTTTTTGTTCCTTTTATTTGTTTTCTGAAAAAGCTAGTTTTGATGTGGCGTTCTGTGAAAAATGAGATGAACAGTTAATATCTTACCTGTTATAGATATACATTTGATTGTAGAGTTTTGAGAAATAAAAATACTAGTACAACTAGTATTGTACTTGTAGAACTAGTACAAAAACAATGTGCCGAACAGCAGCACAAACGTGAGTCTGTGTGAGCAGATGAGTACAAAGGAACACAGCAGTGTGAAATAAATCAGCAGCATGAGATCAGCATCATGGATAGTCAGGAGCACATATCAACAATCAAGTGGCATTAAAGTGACTTTTTTTTTCCACAGTAATAATCCTGGTTAGAGATTCATGAGTCTAACAGCCTCAGGGTAGAAGCTGTTCCTCAGTCTAGTGGTTCTGCTCTTAATACTCCTCAACATTCTGCTTGAGGGGAGTGGGGCAACAAGTGTGTGCTGGGTGAGTGGGGTCCTTCATGATGCAGGTGGCCCTCTTTCTGCATCTACAGGTGAAATGCCTGTGATGGTGGGGAGACTGACTCCAACAGACTTCTGTGCAGCCTTCACCACTCTCTGCAAGCTAACATTTTTCAGTCAGGTCATCTGGACAGTTTTTTTTTTTCTTTTCTGAACGTTTCACCTTCCATCCGGAAGGCTTCATCAGTCAAGGACACACACAACACAAAACTGATTATTCCCCCAACAGCTTACTCCAAAGTGGAACAAACCAGGTATGTTGGTGCTAAGATGGTCTCTTTGGCACGCACCCTCCTCCGTTGCTGGCCCTCTTTCTCGTCGACAGTCATATCAAACTGGTTCAAAACAACAAAGTCCATGCTCAATAATTCAGGTACACAACCCAACATTTTTCAGTCAGGTTCATCTGGACAGTTTCTGACCTGACTGAAAAATGTTGGATTGTATACCTGGATTATCGAGCATGGACTTTGTTCACTCTCTGCAAAGCTTTTCTTTCTGCAGCTGTGCAGCCTCCATACCACATGTTGATACTGGAGCACAGGGTGCTCTCCACTGCACACCTGTAGAAGGAGGTGAGGACTGAACTTCACAGACCAGCTCGTCTCAGCCGCCTGAGGAAGTAGAGTCTCTGATGAGCTTTCTTGATCAGGCTGGTGTTGTTGCCCCAGATGAGGTTGTCATTCAGGTGAACACTCAAATACTTGTAACTGGAGACCACTTCCACCGCAGATGCTCATATGATGGGGGGTGGGGTAGGTGTACTTCTATCTGAAGTCCACGACTATCTCCTTTATCTTCTTCACATTGATGTGAAGCTTGTTCTTCCTGCACCTTCTTCTTCTTCTCCAAGTTAACTAGCTGTAGCCCTTTTAGTGGAACACATGGTACTTCTCACTGTAATATCATGTTTGTTTTATCTGCCATAATAACTTTGTAAAGTAAAAATTACATTATTAAATGGCATTTGCATGAACTTTATGAAAAGTTTTCTTTCTGTTGTTGTTTTAGATCAGCAGCATTTTGCTTTAGCCTTGACCCCACTCAGGCTAGCTGTTAGTTCATCAAAGTCAGAAATTAAATCTACTTCTTTAAGCTGAATCTGTTCAAAAAGTTATTTAAAAGATATTATGTGTTAACATGCATTTCAAAGCTCGTCACTAGAACAAGTCTGAACTATCCCTTTAAGACAGACCCATATAATTTCAAGGCAAATTCAGGACACACGTCTCAAGGAACCATAAGATTGCAACAAAATGAGCCAAGAAAAATATCAATTAATTATAGATTTCAATCGAGGGACTCTATCCATGGGGAAGTGAGTAATTTTTCATCAACAACTTCAAACAGATGAGCTTGCTTTTACACCACTTTCATCAACTTTATGAAACTTGCTCCGGACTTTTCGAACTGAAACAGAACCAAGGAAACATGCCTTTTTTAGCACTATTACATACCTGTTGACAGTCATTTGTTCACACATGTTTGTCACAGTTTTCTGTCCTGTTTATTTTGAAAGTCGGTTCAAATGTTTGATTTGTGGGGTTGAATGAGCCAAAAAGAAGAAGGCTGTTATAAATCCAGCCAGGTAAGGAACAGGAAATTATTAGTTCCCAGAACCGTGGCAAAAGACAAAAGCCTTCCGTGGAATCTAACGGCATGCTGAGCCTTTTATTCTTCTTTTTAGGTTCATCTGCAGAAAATGTGGACTAAGAGCGGCACTCATTTGCATGATCATAAATACACACTTTTTTAGCTTTTGATAGCTGTGATAAAAGCTGGAATAGAGTGGATTAGGCACCTTTTTACATAACTGTAAAGCACTAAACAGCGTTCTCACATATTACAATGTCCCTCATGAATAAAACTAATTCCATATCTAAGCTGTCCTGACCACTTTTTTTTACTATTTAAAGCTTCCATCCATCAAAGTTGGTGCCATTTGAAAATTGCCAAGATATTAAACTTGAGGATTCGAGGCCATGCAGAGTAAAACGTGAGCAGAGAGGAAAAAAGGTCATATTTGTGCCTCTAGTGATGTTCACGAGTCTGACAGCTAGCCAATTGTACACACAGAGAAAATGCATTTATCAATCAATACAATATGCTTCGCTCTGTCATTGTTTTATATTCCTCTTGTAGGTCAAACGAGCTGTGCACTGACCTGACAATTTGTGCCACCAGCTATATGCATTTGCACATTTTGGAATAAAATCTGTTTGCAGACATGGAGCACATTCATGTATTCATAAACGGACTCCTTTTATAAAGTCCAGAAGCAGCTCTTTTCCACGTTTGAAAGCTAATAAAAACAAATACAGAGCTGTTTTTCAGCTCCCCAGTATCCCTCTGACAAATGAGTCAGATCTGCTCACGTCATTTTAATTTCCCCTGCACCTGCGGTCTTAGGTTTATTCTTGACAAATGGCTAACTGGGCCACTTTGATTATGTTTTCATGGTCTTTCAGCTTCTCAACTTTGAAACAAAATTTCTGCAGATGAAGCCCTTCTGAATCGATGGCATGTGGTGCTTCGGGCCTGTGCCACGATGCAATGTTTTGCACTTCTTGCACCTCGTCTTCATCTTTGTCTGAGCTGCCAAGTGCGAATATTGACTTTTGGATGCTTTGAATTGTGGGGCTGGTGTGGCCAAATAACACCATTTGTTTTTCACTTGACAGTTGTGTCTTGAAGCCGAGGCTTTGTTTATGTTCATTTACCATTAAGATGTCAGCTGTGTCACTCGTGAGTTTTAACAGACCCCAGTTTAATCTTGCAGCGATGTCAGCAACTTAAAAACACCAGACATGGTGTGAGCATGAGCAAAAGCAGCTATTTCCACTTAATTACAGGATGTTATCACATGATTTTGTCATCCTGCTGTAATTTGGGTAAATACAGTATGTCACAGACAGAACACATCACCTATGAGCATTTTCTATTTTCTTTTCGTTCTAGCCTTCACGGTTTCATCAAGCTTTTAAAGGCCTAGCATTCAATGAAGGAATGCCACACCCACCACCTTTCATGCAAGTTATCAACTGAAATCATCTTATGATGAGACGGGACAGAGTTATAA